GAATAGTAATGAGGAAGCATTAAAGGACTTAGATTTATATATATGGGATAAGCAACGAGAGTAACCTAGAGTTTGGTAGCAGACCTCAGTAACAATGGGGCGCTTACTTAGATGTAGTAAAGCCATAGATGCCCAGAAGTACAACTTGTCATAATTTTATATATGTTCACAAAATGAGGCCTAGAGATTGGCTAAAAGCTGGAAGAAAAAGGAGAGAAGAGTCGCATAGGCGCACGTACAAGGACAAAGTCATACAGGCTGCATGATAGAAGGTAGCAAAGTTACGACATTGGAAGGATTCTGAACATAAGTCATGGTATGAGAAAGAGGCCTAGAGGGGGAATGCCTTGGCCTTTGGATTTATTCACAGAACAATTGCCTAGATGGCAAGGAGAGAATACTAAAGTATTCGGAAGACATAGGTTATGAAAATGATAAGTGCATCAGTCAACATTCGAGGACGAATGTTCCGAAGGGGGGAATGATGTTACGCTCCACAGTAATTTATTACGACGATGTTACACCTTATAGTATTGTACATTGAATTTGTCGTAAGATAATCGACGTAAGTTCGGAAATGAGATTATTTTAAGATTATAAGCATTATGCTATTTGAAACAAGTAATGAGTAGATTCATGAAGGTGAGAGGGTAAGAAAATCGAAGAAAATAATTTTGGTCGAAGTTTGACATTTTGGGATAAAATACGGCCCGAGCTAAAATATCCAGTATTTATGGACTAATACCATATAAGGTACCACATGACCATGATAGTAAGGTGTACAAAGTGTGTTAAAAGTAGATAGTATTTTAAGTAATTAGAGATAATCCTTAATTATGTGAATTATTGGATAATGGGATAGAAATATATCAAGACTCTTGAATGGCTAAGGAAATATATCAAGACTTTTGAATGGCAAAACTTTAGATAAAGACTAAGGAAACATGGCAGCCACATGGAAAATTTATCAAGAGAGCAAGTATTATAATAAAGTTTCAAGTTGCGGACGTGAATTATACCTATGTAGAAGGGAGGTCATGAAAGAGATAGAAAATGTGATGCGAGATTATAAAGTAAGTAAGGTAAAGGTAAAGAAGGTACGAGATACTCAAATGCAGAAGGTTGTGGATAGTCCATACTTTAGATAGAAGGCTAAAAGCGCTGGGATTCAGTATCCAGGAATGATAACGGCATCGCCAACGGCATGTCTTCCAGCCTATGGTTTCTAGGTACCGAGAGATCTAGTTAAGAGAGTAAATAAGAGTTAGAGACGATGTGATGTCTCGCTTGATGTTCTAAAATAAAACAAGGAAATCTGCGGTGCAAACAAGTTGAAGGAAGGTTGCGAGTAGTATAAATAGATACGTATAGGTCGCAAGCTAAAATATAGTAAAGCGACAAAGTTTTATGACAGGAATAAGGATGAGAAAGGGCAAGTGAGAAGGTGATGAGAATGGATAAGTCCTCGGGATTAAGCCCACAATAGAGCTAATGGTTTCTCTAAGTTGTAAAGAGTTCAGTATAGCCTAAATGAACTCAAGGGGATCTAAGACTAATAGCATCTAGAAGAAATGGAATGCTGCCCCGGTAGTGGAATGAGGATGTGATTGTGATAGATAAAGGATGACGTTTGGTCTTTCGATTGAGTAATGACTTGAAGAGGATTTCATGAATTGTACGGGATTAAAATACCCATGTAAGGTGAGTCATACTGGGATGCTACAAAATACGGTTATGGAAGTATATTATCGCCCCTAGGTGGATCAATATAATTACTCCAGATGTCCCCTATGAGACGTGAGCCCTAGCGGCAGTGTTACATAAGAGATCAAGTTATCAGTGGTAGATGATGGATCAACATTAAGGCGAATCAACAATAGATGGATAAAAGTTCAACAGTATGAGATGAGATCAAGCCATCATACTTAAGATGAATAGTAATGAGGAAGCATTAAAGGACTTAGATTTATATATATGGGATAAGCAACGAGAGTAACCTGGAGTTTGGTAGCAGACCTCAGTAATAATGGGGGACTTACTTAGATGTAGTAAAACCATAGACGCCCAGAAGGACAACTTGTCATAATTTTATATATGTATACAAAATGAGGCCTGGAGATTAGCTAAAAGCTGTAGGAAAAAGGAGAGAAGAGTCGCATAGGCGCACGTACAAGGATAAAGTCATACAGGCTGAATGATAGAAGGTAGCAAAGTTACGAGATTGGAAGGATTCCGACCACAAGTCGTGGTATGAGAAAGAGGCCTAGAGGGGGAATGCCTTGTCCTTTGGATTTATTCACAGAACAATTGCCTAGATTTCAAGGAGAGAATACTAAAGTATTCGGAAGACATAGGTTATGAAAATGATAAGTGTATCAGTTAACATTCGAGGACGAATGTTCCAAAGGGGGGAATGATGTTACGCTCCACAGTAATTTATTACGATGATGTTACGCTCCGTAGTAATTTATTACGACGATGTTACACCCTATAGTATTGTACATTGAATTTATCGTAATATAATCGACGTAAGTTTGGGAATAAGATTATTTTAAGATTATAAGCATTATGCTATTTGAAAGAAGTAATGAGTAAATTTGTGAAGATGAGAGGGTAAGCAAATCGAAGAAAATAATTTTGGTCGAAGTTTGATATTTTGGGATAAAATATGGCCAGAGCTAAAATACCCGATATTTATGGACTAATACCATACAAGGTACCACATGACCATGATAGTAAGGTGTACAAAGTGTGTTAAAAGTAGGTAGTATTTTAAGTAATTAGAGATAATCCTTAATTATGTGAATTATTGGATAATGGGATAGAAATATATCGAGACTCTTGAATGGCCAAGGAAATATATCAAGACTCTTGAATGGCAAAACCTTGGATAAAGACTAAAGCAACATGGCAGCCACATGGAAAATATATCAAGTGAGCAAGTTTTATAATAAAGTTTCAAGCTGCGGACGTGAATTATACCTATGTAGAAGGGAGGTCATGAAATAGATAGAAAATGTGATGCGAGCTTTTACAGTAAGTAAGGTAAAGGTAAACAACGTACGAGATACTCAAATGCAGAAGGTTGTGGATAGTCCATACTTCGGATAGAAGGCTAAAAATGCTGGGATTCAGTATCCAGGAATGATAGTGGCATCGCCAATGGCATGTATTATAGCCTATGGTTTCTAGGTACCGAGAGATCTAGTTAAGAGAGTAAATAAGAGTTAGAGACGATGTGATGTCTCGCTTGATGTTCTAAAATAACACAAGGAAATCTGCGGTGCAAGCAAGTTGAAGGAAGGTTGCGAGTAGTATAAATAGATATGTATAGGTCGCAAGCTAAAGTATAGTAAAGCGATAAAGTTTTATGACAGGGGTAAGGATGAGAAAGGGCAAGTGAGAAGGTGATGAGAATGGATAAGTCCTCGGGATTAAGCCCACAAGAGAGCTAATGGTTTCTCTAAGTTGTAAAGAGTTCAGTATAACCTAAATGAACTCAAGGGGATCTAAGACTAATAGCATCTAGAAGAAATGGAATGCTGCCCCGGTAGTAGAATGAGGATGTGATTGTGATAGATAAAGGATGACGTTTGGTCTTTCGATTGAGTAATGACTTGAAGAGGATTTCATGAATTGTACGGGATTAAAATACCCATGTAAGGTGAGTCATACTAGGATGCTACAAAATACGGTTATGGAAGTATATTATCGCCCCTAGGTGGATCAATATAATTACTCCAGATGTCCCCGATGAGATGTGAGCCCTAGCGGCAGTGTTACATAAGAGATCAATTTATCAGTGGTAGATGATGGATCAACATTAAGGTGAATCAACAATAGATGGATAAAAGTTCAACAGTATGAGATGAGATCAAGCCATCATACTTAAGATGAATAGTAATGAGAAAGCATTAAAGGACTTAGATTTATATATATAGGATAAGCAACGAGAGTAACCTGGAGTTTGGTAGCAGACCTCAGTAACAATGGGGAACTTACTTAGATGTAGTAAAACCATAGACGCCCAGAAGGACAACTTGTCATAATTTTATATATGTTCACAAAATGAGGCCTAGAGATTAGCTAAAAGCTGGAGGAAAAAGGAGAGAAGAGTCGCATAAGCGCACATACAAGGACAAAGTCATACAGGCTGCATGATAGAAGGTAGCAAAGTTACGAGATTGGAAGGATTCCGACAACAAGTCGTGGTATGAGAAAGAGGCCTAGAGGGGGAATGCCTTGGCCTTTGGATTTATTCACTGAAAAATTGCCTGGATGGCAAGGAGAGAATACTAAAGTATTTGGAAGACATAGGTTATGAAAATGATAAGTGCATCAGTCAACATTCGAGGAAGAATGTTCCAAAGGGGGGAATGATGTTACGCTCCGCAGTAATTTATTACGATGATGTTACGCTCCGCAGTAATTTATTACGACGATGTTACACGCTATAGTATTGTACATTTAATTTATCGTAAGATAATCGACGTAAGTTCGGGAATGAGATTATTTTAAGATTATAAGCATTATGCTATTTGAAATAAGTAATGAGTAAATTCGTGAAGGTGAGAGGGTAAGCAAATCAAAGAAAATAATTTTCGTCGAAGTTTGACATTTTGGGATAATATACGGCCCGAGCTAAAATATCCGGTATTTATGGACTAATACCATACAAGGTATCACATGACCATGATAGTAAGGTGTACAAAGTGTGTTAAAGTAGGTAGTATTTTAAGTAATTAGAAATAATCCTTAATTATGTGAATTATTGGATAATGGGATAGAAATATATCGAGATTCTTGAATGGCTAAGGAAATATATCAAGACTCTTGAATGGCAAAAATTTGGATAAAGACTAAGGCAACGTGGCAGCCACATGAAAAATATATCAAGTGACTATTGAATCACTTTGGTAAGGTGGCATTTTTAGATTAAACACATCAAGTCATTAGTCATTTGTATTCAAAAAAACTTTTCCAGGTAGTTCCTTAAATGATATGCGTATCTTCCCAATAAGGCTATGCAAGTAACAATACTGCACCACCTAGTCACATGATTTTGGGTGGCTAAAGTCTAACGTTCTTCAAAATATTATAGTTGTTTAAGCTTACGGAGGAAGCTCTCAATTCTAACAATCTCTTTACTTCACTATCCAATATGCTTTGCTTTCTGTAGATGTTGTATGTTAAGAGCTTAGGTTGGAATTCCTTCGTAGCTTTTTACTTTCTTTTGGGTAACAGTTTTTAAAAAAATGTTGTGCTGGAGTTATTTTTCTGATGGAGATTGCTTCAGTGACAATCTATATGGGTTTTTGGTGGGATGTTTTAGTTGGTTGCAAAATATTGATTTCAGGATATATTCTGTGCTTGATTTTACAGGTATGTTAAGGCTATCCCTTCTTTCTTTTGGCATTATGTATACGACACGAACGAAACAAGCAAATGCACAATTTTCATAAATAACTCTATTCATAGAAATATTAGGGGTGTCTATATTCTTGATTCCCCATGTGAATTATTATATATCTTCTGTTCATGGGTCTCAGAAAAATACGTATTTGATAAAATTTATCCGACAAGCATATTATTTTTATGACATTCCGAAAAAATATTATTAATGTATTTTTTATGCATTTCATGCATTTATACATATACATTGACCCATGACCAGATGGTATTATATACGCGTATATAGGTATATTATATGTATATGGGATATGAAAAAAGGTTATGGAGTTATATATGCACCACCACCTGATCAGCTGGTATACGTTGATGATTTTCCCACGGTGGCCGAAATGATATGATGGAATGCCCTCAGTGGCTTGGTGATGTTATGAACACATATACCTATGCGTGGTATGACATTTATACGCATATGCATAACATTATAAAAATGAAATGATTCATAGAGCTATGCAAACGTACATATCGAGTCTTTTACTCCATGTTTCTCTCATGTCTATTATTTACTGATTTTCATTCCTTACGTACTCGGTACATTATTTGTACTGACGTCCCTTTTGCCTGGGGACGCTGTGTTTCATGCCCGCAGGTCGAGAGTCCTCCAAATAGGCGATCATCTCAGCAGAATATATTGGTGCACTCCATTTGCTCCGGAGTTGCTTGTTTGGTCAGTATGATTTAGATATGTATGGTTTGGTATAGCGGGGCTCTGTCCCGACCTTTATGACAATTATGTACTCTTAGAGGCTTGTAGACATATGTCGTGTACGTGAAAGATTGTACGGCCTTGTCGGCCTATATTTTTAGTTTATAAATGATTATGTTGGCCTATTAGGCCCGTATGTCACGTGTATATGATAATGTAATAAGAAAGATACGTTACGTCGGTACTCGGTTGAGTAAGGTACCGGGCGCCCGTCGCGGCCCATCGGTTTGG